AAAAAAAAAAAAAAAAATTAAAGAAACAGATTTTTAGTAAAAGTCTGAACTCTGAGGGAATATAAGTTCATCTTTTACACTGTGGCCAATTAAACAGATAGAGATAGTCTGTTTTGTATTGTTTTGGTTTGGTTTTTTTCAGACAGGGTCTCACTATCATAGTCCAGGGTGATCTTACTCAATCCAGGGTAATCCTGGCAATCTTCCTGACTCAGCCTACTGAATGCTGGAATTACAGGCAGTACACCTCCATTTTTAAGTGCTCATTTGAAACTTTTAGAATCCAGTTATGAGTTACATAACTTAATGAAGAACCTAATTGGGAAAATAAAAATGTTAAATTGACCACAATTTATTTATTCAGACATCTATGGAATCTTCACAAGCCCTTCTGTTTCCTGGATAATCCCATTAACAAGCTCTGGGACTTTAATCAGTAACACCTACCTCCTAAACTGCTATACAGATTAAGTAAAATAACAGATATGAAAGGACTCAACACACACACACACATACACACACACACACACACACACACACAAATTGAGATAGGGTCTCAAAATGTTTAAGTTGGCCTTGAACTCACAAAGATCCTCCAGCTTCAACGTCCTGAGCACTAGGATTACCATGTCACCATGCCTAGCTGACTCTGTAAATTTTAAATCTCTGCTCAAATATAACAAAGCAGTAATAGAAACAGCTATAAATCTGTGCTACCCAGAGAGAAAGGGCTGGACAAGAGTCAAGGCACAATGCTCTGGTGTTTTCTGTCTGTAAAACAGATCAAAATACCACAAAAAGTAACCATCATATATGTTAGCTTCAGTGCGGCTTTTCTGTTAGGTATAGGGAACTTTGCTATGTACAATTTTAAATCTACTTTAGATAACAATATTTCCTTCCTCTTTGGAGACAGGGTCCAAGCTGTCCTCAAATTTGGGATCTGTCCCTATTTCAACACAAGTAAGTGCCTAGATACAAGTATATTTAAGTATTTTACTTTTTAAAAAATTATTATTATTCCTAGGGATTGAACTCAGCACTTTCACACTGAGCGACCTCCCCAGCCCTTTTTTAAAAATGTTGAGACAGTCCCATTAAATAACCAGGTCTGTCAGACTGGGCTTGAACTTATGATCTTCCTGCCTCAGGTTCCCAGAGTGCTGAAATTACACAGCATGGGCCACGAGGCCTGGCTCCCTCATTTTAAAGTATCTCAGGAAAATTAGTAAAACAAAAGAAAATAAAACTTGGTTATTTTAATTAAGAGAAAAAGAAATATTAAAAGGAAGCAACTTGATACAATCCATCACAGAAAAGAGTATTAATGAGTTTATGAATTAATGTAAAAATGTTAGCAACCAGATTACTATGCATGCGTTATTTTAAAGAGACAACATCAACTTACAAGTATTCTCTGAACTGAAATGCCTTCCAGTTCTTATATGCAGTTATGTTTGTATACATGTGTGTGTACACATATTCAAATATTAGTTAAAAATTCAAGTATTAAACTGTCTTAACTTTTTCCCCCAAGAAATACAAAGAAAATAATTTTGAATAAATTATCTTAACAGGAGAAAAAAACTTTGGTTTTATTAAAAGCTACTCTAAAATGTTTTTGTGTCTGGATAGTAGATTTAGTAACCATAAAGAATTAACAGCAATATAAAATCATCAAATATCCCTCTCTAAGGAATTTTGATGCAGTCAACCAAATCAAGAGTTTTCAGCAGCCAGAAGAAACATGACTTGACAGTGTCCTTTTATGTTATCAGAAATTATGCCTAAAATCATCACGCACACGTACATGCAATCTTTTACCTTCAACATCATTTGGAAAAGTAGACAAAAATGAATAAATAATAGGTGACAAAAACATGGTTTTATTTTCATGTAACTGTACACACATAAAAGCTTAAAGTCAAACAAGCAAAATAATTTCTTACGAGACACTCATTCTAGTCAAACAGCTGAGAGATTCTAGAAGAGACATGGGTACGCTGGGATTCATGGATATCGAAACAGATTTACCTCTAAATTAAAGGGTTACAAAATCTGATCCAGGCAAAGAACTCTAAGAATGTATTACATCTGCTAAGAAGCACCTTTTGGGCTGAGGAGATAGTTCAATGGTCTGAGTGCCTGCCTGGCAAGCACAAGGACCTGGGTTCAATCCTGGCACCATCCTGTACTGTATACCTGTGGGCCCCGCCGCAAGTGCACTGAGCCAGCCACTGAGACCAGGCGTGGTAGCACATGCCTGTAATCCCAGTTCTGAGAAGGTTAAAACAAGAGGATCAAAAGTATGAGCTGTGTAGCCAAATCCTGTATCAAATACATAAAATAAAAATTTTTTAAAAGAAGCACCTTTTGATGATGCAGTGAAGAGAATGTATCAATAATGGAACCAAAGGACATATTTCTGAACATCTTTTTAAAAAGTAGAGCCAGAAATTTTCCAAAGAAAAAGCAAACTATTACTGTTTACCTAAGAATTGTTTTTCCTGTTTTATCTAAAGGATTTTTGAATGCTCACTTTAAAATAAAGAGCCAAGGGCCGGGGAGATGGCTCAGTGGAATAAGTGCTTCCCTGGCAAACGCAAGGGCCTGAGTTCAATCCCCAGTTCCACCAAAACAAACAAAGAAAGCAAGCAAGCAAGCAAGCAAGCGAGCCAAGAACCAGATGTGTGGCACACACCTATCATCCTTAGCACTCGAGGCTAAGGTAGAGGATCACAAGTTCAAAGCCAGCTTGGGGCAACTTAGGAATACCCCATCTCAAAACAAAAACATTTTAAAGGACCAGCAATATAACTCAGGGAAGACTTGAGTTCAATACCAAGTTCTAAAACAAAGAGGCAAATTACATTTACGTGCCTAGTGATAAGGTTCAGTGGCAGAGCACCTGCCTGGTAAGTGCAAGGTCCTGAGTCTGATTCCTGGTACAAAAAAAAAGCATTTAAGTAACTGTGACTATTCAACCAAACCTCATTTCAAATGCTTTTATTCATGATATTCTGAAGTTAATATCTGCTCTTTAATACAATACGCACCAGGTCAATATGCATTTACATTTATGTTTTGTCTATTCAGAATTTCCTAAGAACACAAGATCTCTGTTTACATTAGGTTTATAAAATAGAGGACTGTGTCCATTCATCTTTCTAAAATAATGGAAAAAGCACTGCACTCTACCCTAACATCAACCTAATTCTAGTATGAGGAATGCACTCTTTAGCAGCACTACGTCATATTACTAACTGCGTACATGACTAACTACTAAACTCCATTTTGCAATATACAGAACAAAACACAGACTTTAACCAAGCATTCAACACTAATAACAATAGAATGACTCTATCTTATTTGAAATATTCAAGTATTTTTTAAAAAGATGACATACTAAAGGAATGTATGGATTTCAAACTAATTCATATTATTCCACACCAAAGACACTAAACTAAATGTACATGGAAAAAAATTATAAATTTAATGAACTGTTGCTCTTCAGGGATGCCACACAGCTGCTACATAAAAAGTTGAAATATTTATTAGGAAAAACAATTCTCTACCTCCATACTGTTAACTAGGTACTAACAGAAATAGACAATCTTTTGATTTCCATCAATAGGAAGGAGTTTCAACTCAGAACTGGCTACTACACATGGAGTCTAGCTAAAACCAAGTACAAGCAAACAAAATCCAAAAGGTACAATAGATGCTGTGAAAGGGAAAAAAACTGCTCAAAAGGAAACAAGTGGGATGTGAGAAAAAAGAAAAGAAAGAAGGGAAAAATTACATACACAGACTAAATAGCTAAGATAATTGTACTACTAATTTCTATTGGTTTATTGAAAGGAACAGTTAATGCCTAATCAATTTTGCATGCCTATATCTAGTAATTTGAGTAATTACTTTGAAGATAACTATATGCAATATAACAAGCACGGTTAATTTCCTATCATCTTGTTTTGAAATTCCATTATCATTTTTCTGTTTTTTATTCTCTTTAAAATAAAAATAAGCATCTGCAAGCAGGCGCAGGGGCTGGGGATTCCATTCCCAGGCCTGCTGTGCCAGCCCTGCCCCTAGGGCCCAGTGAGACTGCAATTGAGATTGGGCGTGGTGGTGTGGGCGTGGTGGTGTGGGTCTGTAATTCCAGCTCTTGTGAGGCTGTAAACAGGTAGATCACTATGAGCCTGATCTAGTAGTGAGACCTTGAACACCCTGTAGACCCTTCCCTAAATACAAAAATAAATAAAATAATAAACAAAAAAAAAACAACCAAACAAGTGCAAGGCCCTTGTTCAACATGCATGAGTCTGTGGGTTCAATTTGCCAGCAGCACCAAAAAAGACAAAAACAACCAGGGCAGAGACAAGGGTTCAATCCCGGGCATGTCATGCCAGCCCTGTCCCCAGGGCATGCTGAGATGGCAATTGAGACTGGGTGTGGTAGTGTGCACCTGTAATCCCAGTGCTTGGGAGGCTGGAAATAGAAGGATCACTGTGAGTCTTATCCGTGTATTGAGACCCTGCACTAAATATATTAAAAAAAAAAAAGCAAAAACCAAACAAACACAAACAGCAAAACTAAATACTATACAATGAGGAAAATAACACTCAAAAATGACCAGCCAAGTGTGGTAGCATACACATATGATCCCAGCACTTACGAGGGTGAGGAGGGAGACCTATTGCCAAACTAGGCTATATAATAAATTTAAGAGCCAGCCTGAACTATATAGCAAGACCGTATTTAAAAAAAGAAAATCTTAGTAAATAAAAGAACCTTACTTGCATTGCAATTTTCCAAATCACACACAAAGCAATATTCTGGAGATAATATTCTAGGTCTAGGCCTAAGTCCTTACTGATTTAAAATAATAATAAAGAAAAATCTTCTAAATTTATAAAAGAAACCCAACTTTAAAATCACCGAAATTGGCACAAACCTACTTCTTATTTATAAGCACAGTAAAATAACTGGAAACTTACCGACTTCTTCTTCTTCATCATTAGATATTATATTATATAGTGTGTCCAAAGCATAACCTATTATTTCAGAATCCGAACTGGAAAAAAGAAATTATTGTACACTGCTAGTTAGCACGGGAACTACTATGATCATTGTTAGACAGTTACTTAACAGACTATATGAAACATTAATTCCATTTCTAAGGACTTTAAGAAAATATCAGCATGCAAACTACAAAGAATGTCTGAGAATTTATAATTGCAAAACTTGAGAAGCAACCTAAATGTCTAATAATAAAGTATAGAAAAAATATATGTACATATAATTATATATGGCAAGAATTAAAGACTTTATTTTCAAAGACTATTTAATGGCATGGCAATTAAAATACTCTGATAGGCTAAGTGGAGTGGTGCACACCTATAATCCCAGCACTGAGGGGTTGAGGCAGGATCCTCACAAGTTGAGGCCAGCTGGGCTACACAGTGAGTTCAAGAACAAACTGAACTACACAGTGAGACCTTGTCTCAAAAAACAAACAAAACACCCTGATACAATGCCAAGTGAGAAAAAAAAAAAAAATTAAATCCAAAAATTAATGGACCAAATAATTCCATTTAATAATATAGGTGTATATATGTGTCTAACTGTATTTCTAAAAACATTATAAATTTATTTTAAAAAACCCAACCTTTTATTAAAAATAGGGGGGCCAGGGAGATGGCTTAGTAGAATAACGCTTGCCTGGCAAGCACAAGGGTCTGAGTTCAATCCCCGGTTCCGCAAAAAAAAAAAAATTGTGTCTCACACAAATATCCAAATAATATTTGTGTGAGACACATATACACACATATATTATCTACAGTTGGACCATCCTTCTCTATACTTTTTTCTTTAAAAATAAACTTACACTAAATATGTACAATATATAAAATCAAGAAATGTGACATTCTGTAGTTGCTGCCAGAATGACAAATTCAGAAAATGTAGGATGATGGTGCCATGTAGAGTGGCAAAAGTAAAACACAGGCTTCAAAGATCAGTGACCATAAGCAGTGATCAGCTGTGGTTTCTGAAAACAGAACAGACAGACCAAAGAGGTTTACAAGGATTAAACATTAAATGAAACGAGTTTTACAAAAATCTGTATTATGTAATTCTGTGAAAATCTGTAAGGCATCTTTTAAGAGACAATTGAGAAACTAGGAAGAAAAAAGTACATCCTCAATCCATGTAAAAATCTGAGTTCAGGGGTGGGAGGCAGCCCATGGAACATGCATGCCTGGCGTGTGCAAGGCCCTCGGTCAGATCCCCAGCACCACGCACACATGCATATGCACATACACAAGGTCCCACCGCCACACAGCCACACTAAATGACCTCCCTCTAACATCAGGATTATAATAGCAAGGCCCTCTCTTGCCACTTCTATCCAACACCAAAATGTAAGTACTAAGCAGAGCAATACACAAGTACTCAGAGATGACATCTTATATTTACAAAATCTTAAAAGATCCACTGAACTATTAGACTCAATAAGCAACTTCAGGAAACAAAAAATAACCAGGCAAAATACAGCTTCCTGAAACCTGGAACTGAGACACCCGGAAAATAACAACTTGATGAAGCAGAAGAGCAGATCTCTAGGAATCAGGAGGGAGCTGACAGAAAAACTAGAAATTACAGAGCAGCTGGAGAAATAGCACAATGCAGAGGACAGGATGAAACAGCAGGAAAAGCAAACCCCAGATCCTGGGTCAAGGTCCTGTCTCATTAGCACATGGTGAGCCTGGAGAGGGCCAGCAGTGCAAATCCAAGGAAAACCCAGTTATGGTGAACTGTAAAAGCAGCAGGACGCTCTGTCTACTCTGAAAGTAACTCCCGCATGGCAGGTTGGAGCTGGAGAAAACCTGTACTGCAGCACCCATATTTGAGAGCTTTTAAAATCCGGAACCATGAGGGTTCATCACTTAAGACTGAGCTGCGTAACTACAGACTGATGTCACCTTAGGGTTTCCAGGGATACCCTACCACAGTGGCTAGGTGGAACGTGGCCTTAAAACACAGTTACAGAGAAGGCATGGGCCAGTCACATACCCCCTGAACAGGTTAACCTCAGGCCAGAAAGGACACAGGCCCCAGCACGTGGGACTTGCAGTGGATGCTGGATCTTAATGTGCTGGCATTAAGTCCAGCAGACTGCTTTACTACCCTGGCCAGCTGCCTACGGTCAGCAGAGAGCTGAGTGATCCTTCTGCTTTTTCCATGCACCAATGTGCCAGCATCTGGATTATCTTTGTGTCATCCACAATACGCCATGGTTCATTTCTGGAGAACTGGGTGCTGGGTCAATTATACTGCACCCTTCCCTCCTCAAACTAATGAAGGGAGTCAGATACTTTGAGTGAGGCAAATCTATAGTTAGCCACACCCAAAGTGAGGATACTAACTAAAGATAGCTCCATATTAGCAACAAAATCAATCCTGCCACTATAATCAACCCACAACACTTACCACACACACCAACAGAAACACAAGAAAAAAGCAACAAAATGCTTACAAAAATACACAACTCTTCCAAAGATAATCAAAGGAAAGGAAAGCAAAAGCCAAAAGGCTGAATTACAAAAAGTGTTAAGACAGACAAAAACTAATCCATAAGGTGCTAAGCAAGCTCAAAGATTAAATAACTAAACAAATAACTGACTTAATAAAAAATGATGACAGAACACAATAAGCCAGCTGAGCTTAAAAAAGAAAAAAAAAAAAAAAAAGAAAAGAAAAAGATACAAAACATAATTGACCAGTTTAGCAAATAATTAAAGAGTCCATGAAAAAGTACCAAACAGGACATTAAAAAATTCCACTGAAAGTATGAAAGTGGCCTTTGTGAGGTAAGAGTGTCAGAAAGAAGACAGGGCTGATGCAGGTGATCAGATACTCAGAGATAACCTAAAATAGCATGGGAAATGGACCCAAAAACAGCTAGATAATGCAAAGAAAACTAATCCTAGAATAACTGGAATCAATGAAAAATCAGAATATTTTTATGAATGCCAAAAAAAAGCCTGTTCACATAAATAACAGAAAACTTCCCAAACATGGGGAAAGAATAAATATACAGATAAATAGGATTTACTGAACCCCAAGCACCCACAAGCAGAAAAGAGCTTCTCCAAAAGACATCATAGGCAAAATCCCAGAAGTTCAACACAAGGACTAACAGCATCTAATAGCATCTTAAAAGCTATTAGAGAGGAGCTGGGGAGATGGTTCAGTAGAATAAGTGCTTCCCTGGCAAGTCAAGGGCCTGAGTTCAATCCCCGGTTCCACCAAAAAAAAAAAAAAAAAAAAAAAAGCTATTAGAGAAAAGCAATAAATCATTTATAAAGGTAAACCCATCAGAATTACAGAAATATCTCAACACAAACTTTGGGCCAGGAAAGTATGGAGTGAAATGTTTCAAGTCCTAATAGAAAATAATTTCTAACTCACACTAATATTTTAGTATACATATGCTGCTGCAGTGAGCACCAACTCAGACTAATGTATCCTGTAAAACTGTCTTACAAAACACTACTAAACATGAAAGACAAACATCAACACAATTATATTAGGAAACTTCAGTATCCCACTATCATGAACAGATCAACTAGACAAAAAAATATCAGAGGTGAACGACAACTTTGAACAAAAATGGACTTTATAGGTTTACAGGTTCTATAATGTTCTACTCAACAGACAAAACACATTCTTCTCAACTGCACATGGAATTTTCTCCAAAATAAACCACACACTAAACCATAGACTGCTTAAGTAAATAAAAGGAACAAAAATTATTCCATGCATATTAGTTCATGCTGCAGTGTAACTGAAAATTAATGGCAAATAAACTACCCTGTACACAAACTAACACAAATAAAACAGCCAACTGTAAGAGTCAAAGCTGTAAAACTCTTAGAATAAAATATAGGCATACCTTTTCAAAATCTTGGATTAGCTAATATTTTTTTTTTTTTTTTCCCAGAAGCAGGGATTGAACTCAGGCCCTTGCACTTGCCAGGCAAGTGCTTATTCCACTGAGCCATCTCCCTGGCCCCACCAATTTTTTAAAATATCAAAACCACAAGCAATAAAAGATAAAACTGGATTTCATCAAAATTAAAACTTTAGACCTGGTGTGGTGGGCATGCCCATAATGCCAGCTCGTGGGAGGCTGTAAACAGGTGGATCACTATGAGTTCAATTTAGTAGTGAGACCCTGAACACCCTGTAGACCCTTCCAAAAAAAAAAAAAAAAAAAAAAAACAAAGAAAGAAAGAAAGAAAGCTGGTCAAAATTAAAATTTTTTTATGCTTCAAAGGACTCTATCAAAAAAAATTAAAAAGACAGGGTTGGGGAGATAGCTCAGTGGTCTAAGTGCCTGCCTGACAAGCACAAGGACCCAGATTCGGTCCTCAGTGCTACATGCTATACCAGCCCTAGAACCCCGAATGTGCAGTGCAAACTGGGTGTGGTGGCACAAGCCTGTAGTCCCAACGTTGGGTAGGCTGTGACAGGAGGATCACTACGAGCCTGAGCTGTGCATAAGAGAAGTTCAAAGTCAGCAGTTAGGAAAATGCAAATCAAAATTACAGTGAAAAAATGAAATTTAAGGGCTGGCCAGATAGCTCGGTGGACTAACGTGCCTGCTTAGGCCGATGCCAGGACCTGGGTTCGATCTCCAGCATGCCGTGCCAGGTCCCGTCCCTGGGCCTGCGCTGAGAAGGCGGCTGAGACTGGGCATGGTGGTATATGCCTGTAATCCTAGCACTTGGGAGGCCGAAAACAGGAGGATCATTATGAGTCCGTATCTGTGTAGTGAGACCCTACAGACCCTGTAGTAAAATACATTTAAAAAAGAAAAAGAAAATGAAATTTAAAAGTACTATAATATATCCGCTAGGTCACCTATAAGAGAAAATAAGCATTGGTGCAGATGTGGGCAAACTGGACGTCTGTATATTGCTGGTGGCACTGTAAAATGCTATAGCCCCTGTGAAATAGTTTGGCAATTCTTTACAAAATTAAAGTTATCCACACATCTAATAACTGAACCCCCAATGACATACCTAAGAAAACTAAAAATGTACGTTCTGATAAAATCAGTATACCTGTTTATGACATTATTTATAATAGCCCCCAAATGGAAATATTAAAGGTTTTATTAAAGGAAAAACAAAACCATATATCCATAGAATCAAGAATTAATCAACTGAAAGAATACACAACATGGACAAAACTTAAAATACCATGCAAAGCATAGAAGCCAGACACAAAGGCTAGAAGAGGTGTGACTCTACTACTATGAAGCACCCAAGATAGTCAAATGCATACAGAAACAGATCAGAGTGCAGGGTCAGTTCTTGGGAGGAATAAAAAACGACAGCCCCTAACGATAGGTTTTTCTTTGCTGTTACAATAGTAACAGGGGTGATGGTCATACAACTCTGAATATAGGAAAACTCCTGAAATGTACACTTTAATATCTCAATTAAAAAGCAAAATCATTGAGGTGTCATGGTTTGGAGACATCAGTGGGCACTGAGTGTGCAAGTCAGGAGAATGAGCAGTCTCTCCTCAGGTCACATCTAAATGTGAGTTACACAGGCCAGGAGAAGCAGCAGGAGATAGCACTGAAGATGAGAGCAAGAGCAAAGAGATGGCTGTAGAAAATGGACCTTCGCATTCAATGGAGGTTTTTAAATTTTGAGACAGGGTCTTGCTAAGTTGCCCAAGATAAACTTGAACTTGTGATCTTCCTGCCTTGGCCTCCCAGAGTGCTGGATTACAGGCATGTGCCACAATGTCCAGCTTCATTGAAGTTTTAAAAACCTTCAGAGGGAGCTAGGTAAGAAACAGAGGCAAACAGAAATGGGAGTTTAGCACAAGTAAGGAAAAGCTCAGAGGAGCTGTGCTTTTTCTACAGTCTAAGAGTCACAATGAAACTCTCAGCAATACCTGACATGATGCAATTATTTGTTCACATTCACAGGACTGTGATTTGCCCTACGTGTAAATACAGCACTCAGCAAGTATGCAGTAAAAGGTGCCTTTATAATCTATTAGCCTTTATCAATTATATGCTTATTTTCTGCTGTACACGAAAAATAACAGTAACAATCACTTTAAGAGGCAGTATTTTTTTTCCATGTTGAATATGTTAATTTTATCATTAATTGTGTAAGACTCAGTGAAACACACATATGACTCTACAAATATGAGATAAGGAACATTGTAAATATGCAGAACCACAACTTGAATTTGTCTTTTCTCAGGTCTTCTACAGGCCCCCATTCCCTGACACATGGCCCCTTTCGTACATTTTCAAAGCCAGCAACAGCAGTTCAAAGTTGTCCTGTGCCACTGTACTCCAATCTCCTCTTCTGCCACCAGTGACCCTTGTGATCACTGCAGGTCTGCCTTGGTAACTCCTGACAGTCTTCCCCCGTCAAAGTCTTCAACTTCACTACTCCAGAAATGGTTTAAACTAAGGCTAGCAAAGTGAAGAGAGAACACCACGATCCTGGTTGGTTTTGGTCTCTGTAGCACAGTGGGTTAAAGAGAGAGCTGAGCTCGCATGGATCTTCAAGGTACCATTGCCTGGGCTGAATTCAGGGCAAAGGCAGTGGAAGTGGGTGAACAAGAGATAAGAACAGGGAGACCAGAGGCAAATTAACTGTGACTGTTTTGTATCTGAGGCCCTACGGGAGAGCCCAGTACATCAGCAATGTATGATGAGCAACTAAAATCTCAAACAGAGGTAGGAGTTGAAAGCTGCCATGCACAATGATTAAAACGAAAGATCCAGATGAAATTCTCTTTAAAAGAAAGTGGAAGGGGGGCCGGGGAGATGGCTCAGTAGGATAAGCGCTTGACTGGCAAACGCAAGGATCTGAGTTCAATCCCCGGTTCCGCCAAAAAAAAGAAAAAAGAAAAAAAAAGAAAGTGGAACAGGGGCCGGGGAAATAGCTCAGTGGAATAAGCGCTTCCTTGGCAAGCGCAAGGGCCTGAGTTCAATCCTTGGTTCCACAAAAAAAAAAAAAGAAAGTGGAAGAGCTAAAAGTAGGCTGAGTGATCTTTCTGGGAAGATGCACCAGATTTAACACTTCATTTAGTTTATTTCCCTAAAAAGGTAAGCCTATGAATACCTGACACACCAGGGACATTATACTGCAGAGTAACTAATGGAGATCAAGACCTCCACTGCCCAATTCATTCCCTTCACCTTATTTTCAGATCTCACTGCTCAGCATAGTGGCTTGCACCTAATGTCCAATATGTATTTACTGAAATAACAACAGAGACTGAAGATGTTAACTCTGAAACAGATTAATTAAAAGTTCTAGAAAATTAGGGGAAAAAACCCCATTAAACAGAGACTTACCGATCTGTTTGTAGAATATGGATAAGATGTTCCATAGCTTGAATACCCACTTCCAAACGATATTTCTGCATATTAAAAAGAAAGTTATTATTAAATTAACTAAGACCCAACTTAAGAAACCTTCTTGTTTTGTTCTGTTTTATTTGGCTGAAGACAGGGTCTCATTCTGTGGCCCAAGCACATGCAATCCTCCTGCTTCAGCTTTCTCAATGCTGAGATACAGGCATGTGTCACTACACCCTTCTAACTTAAGAAAATGAATAATTTACAAAGTAAAAGGCAGAAAATTTATACAATCAGCAACCAGGGTATGAATAATTAATAGCTTACAGACCTTAGATAAAGACTTGAGGGCACGAACAGCATTTCTTCGATCATCTAGTAAAGTAGATGAAGCCACTCGATCACAAAGCTTTTGAATCTGTCACAGAAAAATAAAATGCCATTAAGAGAAGACACAGAACAAGAAAAATAGTGAAGTTTTTCCACCAAAAAATTATACCATCTGACTTTGGGAAAAAAGAAATCAGCAAATGGAATATTTCTGAAGTAGTCTTTCAAAACTTTACATATCTCTGGGAGGCTGACGCAAGGAAGAGTAAAGTTTGCCAAGTTCGTGAAAGCTCAGCCAAAGGAAATTAGTAAGACCTTATCACAAAATTTAAAAGGGGCCAGGGATGGAGTTCAGTGAGAAAAGCCTGAGTTCTACCCCAGTACCTTGGAAACAAAAAATTTTCTATAATAGATTTGAAAAGTGGGCAGGAAGAGGGATAAGTCAAATAAAATAAGTAACACAAATTGAGGAATTAAAATCATTACAATTAAAACTTTCTAACATGCCCATTATGACTGAACCAAGAAGAGAGAAAATCTAATAGGGATATAGTGGGAGGTAGTAGTACGCTATTTAATTTTTTAAAAATAACAATTGCTTATAATTTCCCCTAACACTTCCACAACATATTTTAACAACAAAAGGCAGAATTGCATATTAAACGTTTAATTATGTCTCAAAACCTACAATGATGAAATGATTCTATTCTCAAACAGTATGTAGGAATTAGAATTCAAACTGAATTTAAAAATAAATTCTGGTACATAATTTACAACAGAGAAAAGCTGGAGACTGTCCATTCAGAAAGAAAAGCTAAATATATTGTGACACATTCTTTCACAGAATACTATACAACTGTTCAAAAGAATTAACTGTACTGATAAAAATACCATGATACACAGGGGAAAACAAGTTGTAAAACTATATGTATTTATGAGTTCGAAAAAACATTTGAGACTTTTTTTAAAAAGCTATGAGATACACACAAAGAAAACCATAAACTCAGTCATGAAGAGAAATACAACTTAAAACAGACAGGAGTTTTTGTTGTTGTTCTGTGTATGTGATACTGTGAATTAAATACAAGGACCCTGCCCTGAGCTATCTATATCTCCAATCCTTTTAGGATGAAGTTGCTAAATTGTTCAGGCTGTCTCAACCTTGTGCTCTTCCTCTTTCTGCCTTCCCAAGCATTGGATTTTTTTTTTTTTTTTTTTTTTTCCCTCCTCGAATGCCTTCAGGGCACTTTTGGCTGGCTGGAGTGTTGTGGGGATCGAACTACAGCAACCTAAGGCTGAGAGCCTAGTGGAAGCAGCCACTTAAAGAACTGAGCTAGGGCCTTGCCCCCCCCCATAAGGATTTTTTTTTTCCCAAGTGTTGGGATTAAAGGCATAAGATTGTTTTTGTCTATTAGACTCACAAAATTAAAAGTAATAGTACCATATACTACATGATTCCACTTTTTAAAAAAAATTTTGGTACTGAAAATCGAACTCAGGACCTCACAGTTGCCAAGCAGGCGCTTGTGCCACTGAGCTATCTTCCTGGCCCAATCCCACTTTTATAAAACAGCAAGAGGCAACGGCCTGAGTGCAGCTCAGTGGAGCTGCAATGGAGCTTGTCTAGTTTCATGGAGGTGAGGGTTCAGTCTCCAGCACCACACATCTATGGTTTGTAACTTTTGGCCAGAGTTTGTATTTTAGGACACTATCTTCTAATAACATGCCCACAACTACACATGGCTCACACTTAAGTACCCAGCACAGCAACATTTCTAATAGCTAAAAACAGAAACCTAAGCATTCACCCATCAATCAGAACTAAAGAATGTACATGCATTATGTAGCTGATAAATAAATCAAGCAAAATTGTGTGGCTACAAAATGTTTAAGACATAAATAAAGTGTAAATGCAACGCTTAGCAGGAGGGCTAAAAATTTTAAGAATTTGTTTCTATTTGCTGCCATAAATATTCCACTCCCTTCAAACACACTTATACCATTGTTCTCAACACTTTCTGAACAGTTTTGGAAGTCCTCTTTCATTTAAGAGGTATGATAAAATTCAGAAAGGTAGATTCATGAGCACATGACGTTGTGTCCTCATCCACCGGATCAGATATGGTGTGACTTCTGGCTCTTCCCCAAGAAGCAAAATGACCATTAAAGATGCATGCTTTGGATTCAAGACATTGAGGCAGAAAGGACAAAAGAATAAAGACATGAAAGAGCTGCTTCAGAAAGGGGCAAGAATGATGGGATGAGTGTGTTTGAAAGGATGGTGAAGACTTTGAGGGGATTAATGGCAATGTCCTTCACTACAATAAATTTTTAAAATTTATGCATTTGCTGTATTTTTCAACCACATCTCTTATGTCTTTAAAGATTGTTCAAATACTGCAAATTCAATTTGCTCCTGAGTTATTCAGTCATGAAGTCAGAATGCAGTCTGCCTAACACAACACTAACAGGCTGGACAAAGACGGAGTGTGAGGGCTGTGCAGCTTCATTTTTGCATCTGGGGAGGCCTCATCACCGCTTATCACACTTCAAAGGGGGTAGCCTCTGAATAACCACTGCCCCTCAGGCAGTGCTGAACCAAACAGGCAAGCACACACCGTGGGCCCCAAGCCCTATGCTTGGCCACAGCTCACTCCAGGCAAGGGTAATTCTTCAGTTCACGTCAGCTCTCCAAGATTCCATTTACTCCTCACTCAGGAAAGCCACCTCACTGCTGTGTAACTGCGCTCTGGGACCCTCTCTGTCCCCTTTGTCATTGGGAGCCTCTTTGCTTTAGCTGGCAGGAGGCTGTCCACCCAGGCTACTTTCTAAATCCTTCCACACCATGGTTCCAGAAGTGATCACAAGAGCCTGCAAGCTATACCTCAAGTCATGCTCTTAAAAAGCAGCTGTTTGTTCTTCATTGCTTTTTCCTCCCTCCAGCCTGTAACTTGAACCTGACAGCAAAGAGGAACCTTCAAGTCAAACATCCAAGGGAACAGAGAAGTAGGATGAAACGTACCCCTCCCCTCCATTGCAGGGACCTCACTGGAGGCAAGACTTTGGTGGAGAAGACAAACTTCCATCTTAGCTAAACTTGCTTTCTACCAGTTACAGCAATAGCACTGATGTCCAAATAAATTCATTTTATACAAGGAGAAACTAAGGTCAGGCCTCAGGCCTGGGATGTGGCTCAGTGGTAGAGCACAGGCCAAGCACCCACAAGGAACTGGATTAAAAAGAGGATTGGATGTGACTAGATGCTAAAGTGTGTGCCTCACACACACAGACCTGGGTTTGGTCCCCAGTATCACCAAAAAAAAACCCAAACCAAACCAAATCAAGCATCAGATTTTAATTTATTATTATTATTACTACTATTTTTTTTTTTCCATTGTGCTTTGTTTTCTTGAGACAAGACCTCAATCCTCAATGTATTGTCAGGACCAGCCTCAAACTTGTGATCCCCCTGCCTCAGCTTCATCAACGCTCAGATTCCAGGTACACACTATGATGCCCAACTATAGCTGTAAAAACTCTCTGGGAAACTACTATGTTCACTGATTGGTAAACAGAAATTCTCCAACATTTACTGTTACATTAAATACATACATTCTTTTCAAAATCTATTTGTGTAAATACACATGTTGATAAATACAAAAAAATTAGCAAAACAAAACAATCAAAAACACTCTGGAAGGCTACATACCAAACTTTATTAGTGTTTATACCTGGTGATGGAAAACAAGACCAGAAGGAAGAGGCAACTGCAGATCAATGATACACTCATTTGAACTTGCTACAATAAGCATGTTTTCACTCACTTCAATAACTAAAAAGAAAAGAACAAAGAAATTTGGATTTATCAGATCTTGCTTTTGTTTTGATACCTGCTCTGCATGCTACCTGAACCAGCCACCGGTTATGTGCTCTGTAAACACAGCAGGCCCTCACTGTTCACAGCAGCTCTGTCCTACCAGCTTACCTTGAACACTCATCAGTGGACAGCATGTTGGGGCTCCTAGGGGACTACAGGGCTGGTTTCATAGGAGTCTCTCTCATGAAACCATACTCATCGAACCAATCATTACAAATACTTGTTCTAAGTGCATTTCTCTCTTTTTTTTTTTTTTAAACATTTATTTATTTATTGTGTGTGTGTGTGTGGCCAGCTCAGCCCACCAGGGGGCGGGGCTGGCTGGCATGTGGTGCTGGGGGATCGAACCGTGGTCCCTGTGCTTTGCCAAGCTTGTTCCAAGTAGGTGCTTTAGACCACTGAGCCATTTCTCCAGCCCCTGCATTTTTCTTTAAAAACAAGGTATTGGGCTGGCCAAAATAGCTCAGTGGATTAAAGCTCCTGTAAGCAGGAGCAGGGGCCGGGGATCAGGCCTGCTGTGCTGGCCCCACTCCTGGGGTGCGCTGAGATGGCAATTGAGACTGGGCATGGTGGCACGCGCCTGTAATCCCAGCTTTTGGGAGGTTGTAAACAGGCAGATCACTACAAGTCCGATCCAGTAGTGAGACCCTGAACACCCTGTAGGCCCTTCCCTAAAATACAAAAATAAATAAATAAAAACAAGACATTCAGTATTTATTGCTTATCATTAATACTGAACTGGAGTCCAGCAGCCCTGTAAACCAGGCTGGATGAACCCTCGCTGATGCCATCTCTGGAATGCATACCACACCTTCCTGTGCTTGGGAGTAGTAATCAGTCAGCACAGCACTTGAGAGCCACATCAACAGGGAACTCCACAACCAGAAGCATGAGTGAGCAAAATCTGAAACACAGACAGGCCAGAGAAGGACACCATTTCAAGGGTGAGAGATGAAGCAACATGGGAGCAGGGCACTGTGTCCTCTGCTGGGCACACGCACCCTGGGTGGCACGCTTCTTGCGTGCATGAGCAACCACGAAAGTGCAGCAAGTGCTGACTTGATGCACACTGCCTTCAGGACTCAGGCGGCTGGTAAGTAAGGGACTGCTGAACAGCAATGGACTAGACCTGCTATCTTCCATTGTCTACAACACAGGGCATAAACCAGATAAACTCAAGTTACTTCACACTCAAAATTCAGGAGAATTAATACTTAACTTTAACCTAATAAGCAACATTATATTTACTACCTGAAAAACCTATTTGCCCTACAGTGTTTAAAACAATTTTTTAAGCTGGCATTTAAAAATCAACATTTTTTATATAAAATTTTTTTTCTGAAAAAGTAGTGGCCCGAGTCAGGCATGGGGGCACACATCTGCAATTCCAGCACTCAGCAGACTGAAGCAGGATCACTTCAAGTTCGAGGACAGCCTAAGCTATACGGTGAGTTCAAAGCCAGCCTGAACTACATAGCAAGACCCCGTCTCAAGAAGCAGCAACAAAAAGAACCAAAAAAGGATTGGCTTGATAGTTAATGACTGTTAACAATGAATAGTATACAATTTAAGGAGCAAAGAGAAGCCATCATTTTGACAGACACCAAGAAAAAACATCACCAATTAAACTTATAAGATGTATCCTGACTTCAGAAATGTTTACATACTAATGTGCATTTCAAATTATTAAGAAAAGTCATTTCCTCTGGGTGAGGGTGGTAGCTCAGAAGTGAAGTACTTGCCTCCCATGCAGGAGGCCCTGGGTTCCATATCCAGGATGGGGATATTGTATTTTCATCTTCACAAAAGTCACAGAGGACACTATTCGGATTATATTTACATGCAAGGAACAGAGACAAAGTGGCTGAGAAACCCACAGTGCCAGCTGGGAAGCAAGGCCAGTCTGCTGAGAGTTCCCATCACACATCGGGCCTATGTAGCACGAGATGTGCAGGCTAGGCTACAGCCCAGACCCTGTTCACCTTGCTGGCACCATTCAACTGGAATCCACAATAAAACCCCATATTTGAAGAAAAATAGCTGTAAAAAGGAAAAATTATCTACTTTAGTAAAATTTAATCCAGAATTACCTTTATTTAGGAGAATCAGGAAGTGGTGAGAAGAGGAAAAATGTAAGGGATATTTTCTAATTAAATACTAACTGGAGAGGAGGTGCTGAGACTGGTACACACATACATACATTCTGTTTGCACAAAGCTTGTAGAATACATATATAAATACACACACATATATGTATGCTTATATATATATAATGTATTTGGTAGAGTCTCACTAGGCAGCTAGAACTCGTAATGATCCTCCTGTTGTCAGCCTCCCCAACACTGGGATTACAGGCAAGTACCCTCACGCCTGGCCTCAGTGTGCCAGGACACAGCATGGGGTACTGGGGATGGAACCTTGGTCGCTGTGCTTGCCTAAGCAGGCTCTTAGTCCACTGAGCTGTCTTGCTGGTCCTATTTCTATTTAATCATTTACTCAACAAATACTCACCCAAGACCGACTACTGACTTTTATGACATAACCTTGCCTTCAGTGAGTTAAAAATGTACTTTCCTAGAACAGAACTTCCCCAAGGTTGACTTTATTTTAGGAACAAAATAATTTATATTAATCAACATTCAACTCATTCATATTTACTGGAATAAAAAAATAAAGGATTAAAAAAAAAAGGGCCTGAAATTTGTTTCGAACTCTGTAACTGAAAAGACTTTATTAAAAAAAAGCAAAAATCAATCTTATCTTCAGGTGACCTAATTATCAAAAATCTAAAATAACACGTAAAAACAGCAGAAAGTCAAGCGCAAGTACCAAATCAATGAATTTGAATTACAGACCAAATCAATGAATCCAACACATCTATTTCCATTACAATCACCTGTAAGTTGGCTGAGGCCACAGACTGCTTCACTGATTCTCTGTGCTTTCTTCCAGAAATGAACTAGCTTTGCACAAGCATGTCCTCTGGAGCAATGGACCATAATGAACCATGCAACTCAGCACTGGAGCTGCAGGGCACTCATAGAGGCTGTCAACATGCAAAAGGCCCTAGGCTCAAGCCCACTGCCAGAAAAAGTACAAATAGCCTATCACAAGTGTTAGCATTTCAAAAGGTAAAGTTACAAAAGTTTCCAATTAATTGTGAATTATCTTTCTTATACAAAGAATGTTTATATTATCTCTGCCTGAGATAAAATTGGTCTGATTTTCCTATGATATTCACAATAGACAAAAGGACAGTATAAATGAAAAAGTATAGGGGCTGGGGAGATAGCTCAGTAGAATAAGTGCTTGCCCAGCAAATGCAAGGTCCTGAGTTCAATCCCCAGTACCGCCAAAAAAAAAGTATTGTACTTGACATCAATGAATGTGCATACCTGAAGAGTTTGTATATTCTCCACTAAAAGATAACTCAGGTTAAGGTTAATTACTTCTCAAATCCAAGGGCATCAGGATTTTCTTTTAGGTATTCAAATGGATAACCTATGTCCTCTTAAAAATTGTATGGCCTGCACCAGGTCCTTGTTAGTTCAGCAGTACAAGAAGAGAGAGGGAAGGGAGAGGGGAACAGCAGTTTTGAGAAAACACTGTTAAATTTGAAAAAAAAGTAGAATGCAGGCTAAGAGATCTTGGAAATGCAAGACAGATGTAAAACCACATTTAAAAAATGATTTTACAGGGCCAAGGAGGTAACTCAGAATAAGCGCTTGCCTGGCAAACACAAGGGCCTAAATTCAATCCCCGGTTCTTGAAAAAAAATTTTTTTTACTTTGTGGAACAGGAGAAAGCCACATAATACTAATGGTAATACAGAAGACATTGGTTTCAAGCTCTGGTAGGTCAAGAATCTTTACCAGATCAAATCATCAATTAAAATAGCTAACCTAGCATTACATACTCCACTGATGTGCTGTAAACATTTTTAAATTAGTGACCTAGGAGTCCTTATAGTACTTCCTAACAAAATGAGATGCTAAAACAAGTTTTCTTCATACTGTACCTCAGAGCCTTCAGAAAATATATTACTTTTCAAGTAGACTGTACACACTCAAAGGCAGACAAACCACATAGACCATCACTTTCCTTTCAATTTACGTATGTAACCAACACGGGTAACGCTCAGGCACCATACTGAAATCATGAGGTAAATATTTTTTGTTCCATTCACAGTGAAAAGAGCAAAGTGTTTTGGTCCTAACGCTGCAGTACTATACAAGTTGCTTTAGTGATCTGTAAAATAAGGAGGCTTGAAATGAATGATAGGGAAGGAGTCTTCCAGCTTTACAAACCCTATACTCTTATGAACTGTTTTATTTTGAAATAGTTTTGCCATGCCCTGCAACTCACCATCCTCCTTCCTCAGTCTCCATTATTGGGGTTACAGGTGTGGGCCATCACACTGAGCTATACTCACTTCAGCAAAGCCAACTATAAAGGATAGTTTACCTCTAAGTCACCTGTAAAAGCTGTCTTGTATGAGCAAGTGACAGGTTCTATTCCTTATTTCTCTTAGTCCTCATTACACTCTCAAAAGAAGGCGCTTTCTTTATTCACCTTAGGATATTATCCATCTTTACTGGTCCAATTCAGTCAAGGTGGAAGGCTACGATTAAATTAAAGCTTAAGTCCAAAACAAGCTCTAGTTAGGTATACTACAAAATTTGGTGTCTCATGCCAGCAACATACAAAAGAAATAAGATTCCCAACTTCTTGTCTCAAACCCAAATACCACAGAAAATAAATGAACAAGAGGCAAAGAGATAGGCTGTCACTATAATAATACGGAGAGAACATTTTTCTAGTGGGATAGGTGGCTGTCTTATTGCCATGATATCATGAAGAAATGCAGCCCCATACCTGGCACGTGCGTGTGTGTGTGTGTGTGTGTCTAGGGAAGGGACATGTCCCTATTGTCAAAGGAAGAACAGTAAGCAGCTTTCCACTTCTGCTTTAAACAGCTCTAACCCAAAGCTGCAAGTCTAGTTCACTGGCACAGGTCTTGCTGGCATTAAGGTCTAACCCAGATATATTTAGTTTTACAGTTCTAACCCAGACCTTTTCAGTTAATTTTAATATTATTACATAAGATCCCAGATAGCCAAAATATGGGCATCAGCAATTTGTTCAGTCTTTGAAGCCTACACATTCAGCTGAGTCCCAGCTGAGACCTTGGTCACACAGGATAAGTCACTTCGCCTCATTTCATCTGTCAGTGTGGTGTATGAACAGGTCAGCACACTGGGGCTGGAGAGATAGCTCAGAATAAGCGCTTGCCTGGCAAGTGCAGGGTCCTGAGTTCAATGCCCGGCACCGAAAAAAAAAAAATTTCCCATTCCTTACTGGGGAGATGGCTCAGTGGAATAAACAGTTCAGCACAGAATTTAACACTACTATTACTTCCAGGTACAAAGTTGTCTGTAAGTACTACCCAGGGTTTACCTTTTAAATGTCACACTTTTCACCAAATCTTAAATTATTCTCAACAAAGTTTTCTTTATTAAAAAAAGTCACATACTCAGTTCCAACAGACACTAACCAAACTTCAAAGTAAGTTTTTTCTCAGCCTAAAACCTAAGCCACTGTCAGATACTGTTTTCGCTGGCTAACAATCTTCCTTCTAAATGACGTAGCAAATTGTGCCCCCCCTCCCCTTGTTTGAGCGGGAGACTTCGGGCCATCGATCCAGCGCGTCCTCGCGGGTGACGCGGACTGGGGTACCCACAGCGTGATCTGCACTAATGGCACCAGGCGGGGCGACAGTGCCTGCGGTGACGGGACGGGAACAGGTGGCTCCGTGCCCCACGGAGATCGTTTTATTCTTGGCCGCACGCTGTCGCCAACAGCTGGGTTTTAAACCTCCAACATTCTCCCCACGCCCCGACTCCGTCGAGGGGGCGCAGAACGCGGGGTGTGGGCGGAGACGCGCTCAGGGGACACGGGCGGCCGCGGGCTGCGAGGCACGCGCGGCCCGCCCGACCCTCCCCACGCCGGGGCGGCATTCCCCGCACCCGCCGTTCCCCTCACCGTCTCGGCTTCCGTGTGCTGGGGTCCGGCGCTCTGACCGCCCATGACCCCGCGGAGGAAGTTCATTTTTGCAGTTCAGCTCCCGGCTTCACCGGCTCTCCGGAAAAGAAAAGACAACGCCCCCTCCGCCTGTAGGGCCCAGCTCCCACGCCCGTACGCAAACCTCGCCGGCCGCCAGCCCAACCTGCTGTCCCACTCTCCCCGGAAACAGCCCCCGACGACGGCCGCGTTGCGCATGCGCGGGGACGTGGCGTTACGTGGCGGCTCGGAGGGCGAAGGCGAAAGGGGAGCGCCGGGCCCCGCCTCCGCAGCAGGCCCCGCCCCCGACCGGCCCGGCCCCGCCCCTCGGAGCGTCGCTGCTGCCGGTAGCCACCACCCACGTGGTCGGAGCGAGTCCCTGCTGGCGGAGCGGGTCCCTCGGAAAACGAGCTGTGGCTTGCCGAGTGTGTAACTGCTGCCGAACGGGACCCACGCTGTCGAGTCTGGGGTCTTGTGTGGAGTCAGAAGTGACCTTCTCTTCAGCCAGCGTAACAGGTAAGGGGCGCTGGCCCACGGTGGATCGCGGAGCTTTCCCGGGTCGCAGCTCGAGCGCGTTGGCGTTTGGGTCCGGCGATTCGCTTTCTTTGCAGGGCTTTGTTCGGTGGCCAGGGACGCTGGATACCCTCGCCCCACTGCCACTGGAGGGCGTGAGCGCAGCTTTCCTGTCCACCCGCCAAGGGGTCCCTGGACCCCAGCCCTGGGGCACCTGGCCTCCCCGTGGGCGAGCAAGAGCTCACAAGTCCTGCTTTGCCTGCTCTGAGAAGCTGGGAGGCCACTTGTCTCGTATTGTCCTTCAGACAGACAGTAGCATCATATTTTGCTATTAACTCTCAAGTCTGAATTCCCAGGTTCTCTTTATTTTGAACATGAAAAATGTCATTTTTCTAGATCAGTGTGCCTCGTCATTTTGCAGTGAGGTTGTCAGGCATATGCTTCTGGAACAGTCCTTAGAATTTCTGGACTCCGCCTCGCGGTCTGATTAGCTGCCTGAGACGCACACCTCTCCGGTCAGATTCCCTGGAGGTCCAATGCAGCATTTCAAATTAAACCCATCCACCTCCCTGGCCTCCTTTAAAAACAGATTAATCAATATTCCTTTCACATGCCTCACCTTGCACTGTAGAGTCCTGTCCAATGACGTCTAAACCAAAAGCAAGAAGCCAGCAAGAAAGATAGGCTTTCCACCTCCTCAGGCCAATCAATAGCCCACTGTACGATTTCTATTTATAGAAGAGTTCTCACATAGGTCCTCTGTTCACCCTGCTTTCTCCTGACGTTGTTTAGAGTCCTCTCTTCATTTCTCCCTGAGATTAGAGCATTTGCTTCCAAATAGTTTGTCTGCATTCAGCCTTTGCTTCCCTACAGTGCAGTCCCCAGTGCACCTATGGGGTGACCATCAGGGGAAAACACTTCCGTGTCAGTCCTCTTTCTGTAGCCTTCCAGTGGGCCCTTCTCTGTAGTAAGACCCAGACTCCTTTGTGGCATACAGGTGCTAGGCACCCTGGCTTCTGCCTTTGTCTCCAGCTCCTGTCTCTTCCCCAGCAGGCTGTGCCATGCTGCCCTGAACACTTAACGGTGAACTCAGATGCACAGCTTCATGCTGGCACTGACAGCTGTTGACATGCAGCACGCGCTCAGTGAAAGCTTCTGATCCTCGCTGTTAGTGGCAGGACCATGCTCCCCATTTCTGTATCTCTTGTTCATGAGGCTTGTGAAAGGTGAGACAGATGGATAAATGAATAAATCATTGCAAGACTAGATGAATGCTATGCAGAGGAGGAAGAGAGCCCTGTTTTCGTCTAGGAAGGGGAATTATAGAAAACCTCTCATAAGAGCTGCGGTGAATGTTCATATATTCAGTGATGAGGTCTTAATCCTGGGACACTTGGGAGATGCACTGCCAAAAATACTGTGCATGTAGTTTTAATGCTCTGCTTTAAAACTACACACTTGACATTTTCCCTTAGGCCTTCTCCATACCGGCATTTGTTGCAGCCTAAGAAAAGCAACCAATAAGTGGGTAGCATTTTTAATACCAAGTAATGTGTACAGATAACCTTACCCAGCTCTCTGAGCTCACCCCCTCCCCAAGCTTCACCTCACCCCATTGTGGGGCATGAGATGAGAGGGGCACAGGGATGTCCACTCCTCCCACTCTTTAGTAGCAAAGTACAGCACCTTGACATTTTAGCAGAGACGCCTGAGCAACTTAGTGAGACTTTTCCAAATAAAAAGTGCTGGGAATGTTGCTCCATGGTAGAACACCCCTCAGTTCAGTCCCCAGTACCACAGAAAAAAAGGATAGCATTGTACAAGATTGTTTCTCAGCTTGGAGATAGTGGAGTAGAGCATTGTCCATCTTTATACTTACATGAGAGGATGAATAGAAAGAGTAATTTGTATTTGAAATGCATCACACATAGGGTAGGGGCCAGCTACACAAGGTGTAATCCCAGCACTGAGGGAACCTGAGGCAGGAGATTCTTACAAGTTTGCACCCACCCTGGGCAACTTGGAAAGACCATGTCTCAAAATTAAAAATAAATAAGGGCTGTGTTGTTAGCTCAGTGGTAAAGTGCCCTTGATCAAGACTGGTTACTGAAAAATCAATGTCAAAAATCAGTGCTGGTGCAAGTATGTACTACTGTTCACCAGCCAATGACTTACAGCGGCATGGTAACAATGAAGCAGCAGGGGGACTTGATGGGGAATCCACAACAGCACTGTCAAGCACACAGGGCTCTTCTTGGCAGGCTGCTCAAAGCACTTTACATGGAACATTTTCCTTAATATTTTCAGCCACCCTATAAGGTGGGTAGTGTCAGGAGCCCCATCTAATAGATGGGAAACAGGTCAGGAGTCTAATGTGACACAAGCCATGCCATGGTGATGACAAGATTGAGTGTCGATCACGGTTGGACTCCAAGTCTGTGCCCTACGTATTATGACGTTGTCCTGTGTCTCCAACTTAAGACAAGGGTCAGACACGAAGCTGAAAGATGGCCTGCTTACCCTGTGTGACTTCAGAGCCCTCTGCCCTCACTCGAGGATTGTTTTTCCTGTGTTTGGTTGTTTGTTCCTCCCCTGCATAGACATGAGGGGCACATCCCTGTGGCCTCCGAAGCCTGCTCTGGAGGTGCATAAGATTGTCCTGCCACTGCTCAGTGGTGACCTTGTGCTGCTGCCTCCTCTGCCGTGCTGACTGCCCTGACCCATCCATCTACACACAGCATTCTCCTTGTTTCATCAGATCCAAGACACCAGCAAGTGTGCAGAGAGGGCCTGAGTTCATTCCCCGGTTCCGCCAAAAAAAAAAAAAAAAAAAAAAAGAAAGAAAGAAAGAAAGGGGGAACCCCTGCCCATGGGGAGAGGCAGTCTACCAAAAGATGCAGCCCAGCTTTGAGTTTGATAAAATAGGAGGAAAAGGTACAGTGTAATATATTTTACCTGTATATTATGTTCATGGTCTGTTTTTCTCTATCAGAATTCTGATCCCTTGGGAGTAAAGATTTGACTCACTTTGGAAACCAATTTGTTTCTAGTGCTTAGTAGGTAGGCTGACACAGGACAATACTTGGCCAATGTGTTGAGTAGCAGTGTCCCCAGGAGAAAACTCCTGCTGTGGATAAATGTGCCGTGGAGCACATTTGGATAATAGTGTTGATGTACTTATCTTGATTGGTGACTATTTGCTAGCCTTTAATGACTTACTTAACTTTTATCAGATATAAAGACAAATGTCTGTGGAGTACAAGGCTTACGTATTTAAGATCAGATCTCAGCCCGCTAGAAAAACATCAAACTCCCCTGTGGCCATCGGTCTTGCTTTGAGGTACATTCCACCAATGCAATAATTTCCTTCTTCTTTTGATGATTTCCTTCTTCTTTTGATAATAAATCTATCCATGTGGCTAAAATAAAATGCTTAAAGGTACATATTCAGAACTCTTTGACCATCCCACGGCCACTATTTTTTAATGAGACAAGTAAGTATAGCACATTGTACACACTGCTGTATACTTTGATTTTGAGTATGATGGGATACTAGGGATCAAACCCAGGGGCTGGCCCCACTTGACCTGACCTGGACAGCCAACCTGTACCCCATCCTACTTTTGTCTTTTTACTATATTTGGAGATTGTTCCATATCTACAAATGGAAGGACTGGTTGTGATGGTGCATGCCTATAGTATCAGTACTCAGAAAACTGAGGCAGGAGAATCTCCACAAGTTTGAGGCCCAGCTACATAGTAAGCTCAAGGCCAGCCTTAACTGCATAATGAGACCCTATCACAAAAAGAAAACAAACAAAAAAGAAAGAGCCAGGCATGGTTGTGCATGCCTGTAATCCTAGCACTCAGAAGGCTGAGGCAGGTGGATTGCTAAGGGTTTGAGGCCAGCCTGAACTGCATAGTGAGACCCTTCTCTAAAAGGCAAGAAAAGAAAAATTTAGAGGGCTTCTTCATATTTCCTTAATGTACTCTATGAAGCACTTTGGGAAGTATTTTTAAAGCCCTAGAGCAGTGGTGGCAAACCTAGGGCATGTGGGTTTATGTTATTGCCCTAGGGATTTCTTAGGATTACAGGTGCAAGAAAGGGGCTCTTGGGCTCCATGTGCTCAATGGGTCAGGAGTATAACCCACTTGATCAGATACATTTGAACAAGAGGATTCAAAGGGCAAAATATTGAAGAGCTGTCCGCTGGGGAGGCCTGGAATGTGGCTGCACAGCAGGGGATTGAGGTGGTTATGTGGTCTGTGCTGTAGAGCTCTGGCTTCCTGCTGCAGCCTTTCCAAAGCACTGTTAATCTTTACTGCTTCAGGTACTTGTTCCTGTACTTTTATTAGATAATATTGGTACTTGAAACATAGTAAGTACTCAGTCAAGTCCAGAGTAAACACTTAGATTGTCTTACGTATATATCATCTACTTAACAGCTGAACATTTATAGATACTGACCTAATAGTACTCAGCTGTATTGACTACATTACTAAAAATGTTTGCTGCTTCACCTGTGCTCTACTCCGGAAACATCAACATCTGAGGTTCACTCTTTCTGGATTGTCCTCTCCTTGTTGAGTCCCTTCTCTGGCTCCATAGTGGATATCAGTCATGCTGGGACCTGTAGTTCTGCCATTTCCCAGATCCAGGTTTATCACGAGAGACTCCAACCCCTTTCCCAGTGTTGTAGAAAAAAATCTCCTTGGGTCTCATGGACTCTGTAGAGTTGT